TATATACAATTATATATAAAATATGTCCATTTGTTTTATATACAATTATATAAAATTATATATATTTTTATGTAATTTTATATAATTATATATAAAACATTTTTTTCTCGGGAGTTTTTCAGCTCAAAATTTCTATATACTTTCGAAAGGTCACTGTATGCCTTTCGAGTATCTGTGAGTTTGAATATGTTTTTACATATAAAAAACTACGAGATGGGCAAAATGAAAAATATTCTCCTCTCTTTATGGGTCTATCATGTATTTTAAAAATATTGCAAAAATTTTCAACTTCCTAATGTGAAAGCTTAAATAAATTTTCTCTACAAAAACGTTTTTGAAAAATAATTTAAAATAAAATTGAAAACTGCTTTACATAAGAAATGAGTTTATCCTTTAAAACGATTTATTTACTGCTACTGATATTTGCTAAATTCTTCTGTTTATATAAGCTTAAATATAATCAAAATTTGACAATTTGCGAGGTTCCCTTGTTAGATATCCTTTAAACTTCTATGCGAAACGATATCGACTGAGGTCCCATTACGACGTTGTTTAAATTACTCCGTATCGTGGCGCCGCAGCGCTTCGATGCCAGCATCAATTGTGAGGAAGTGACGTTCTGACAGCGCACCGTCCACGTAGCGTTTTGAGTACACATTTGCGCATCGCTGTTCAGGAACATCTGACTCTCTGAGCAGTCATCAGAAGCAACGTTTTGTGTGGTGTACTCGTATAACGCGTAACGTGAGTATTTTGTGTTTTTATCTCGTTCGATTATTTTTGCGTACGAATTTTATTCTTCTCTCGCGAAAGGAATACTTACCTGTGCGGTTCTCCGTGAAAAAATTTGGGCTTCCTGACATAACCCAGATTAATTTATTGCATTAATACCCAAGTATGTCTTTTCTTTCTTGTCATATGAATGAAATATTTTTTGTGAATCAAAGTAAAGTGTGATATAAACCTGATAATGTTATATAAAACAGCGATCAAAACTTGTTTTTACATTAAAAAATTGGAAATTTTCAAATTTTATTTACTGTATCAAAGTATAAAGACATCTTGTATCTATATACTAAATAAAACATATCTTTTTATAACTTTTATGTATAATATTCTGACATAAATGTAACGTAGATTTATGTGTTTTTTTGTGACTGAACTTTTCATTTCCCTTTTTTGTCTGCAATATCTAGTTATTGCCTGTTTTGTTTTGAATGTATGATTGACAGAATATATAACATAGTATAATTACAAAAACAGACCTATTATAATATTATTACAAAATATGATCGACAATGCAAAATATCTCAATAATTGTTGCTCAATATAGAAGCTCAAAGAATACCTGAAAGATTGAAATGTATTCTATACATACATGTATGTATAGAATGTATAGAATATAGTAATGTTCGATTAATCAGCTGATTTCAAAATTATTCTTAAACTGCTTTTACTTCTTTTACAGTTTCTCAATCATCATGGATCAAATCAAGAAGCTCACCGAACCTGGCCGTCAATTCGCCAAAGATAGCATCCGGCTTGTCAAAAGATGTACCAAACCAGATCGCAAAGGTAATTTATTTTTTATTAAACTACATGTATGTCAGAAATATAAGGGTTGATCACAATTCTTTTTTTATGTATTACAGAATTTCAAAAGATTGCTATTGCTACTGCGATTGGTTTCTGTATAATGGGCTTCATCGGATTCTTCGTTAAGCTAATCCATATCCCAATCAACAATATCATTGTGTAAGTATTTGCATAATTGCTACTTCATTTTAATTATTTGAGTGTAATTCTTAAATGTTTTTTTTTATTTTCAGAGGTTCATAATATTAACCTTGATTCTCATCAATATTATTAAGGAAATTATTGATAATTATTGATAAGATTCTGTAAGACTATTTGCGTTAATACTTGTCCCTTAAATTTATTTATAATAAAAAAATGTATTTGCTATCTATTGAATTGCTTTTGCGAATGAAGTAGGTAAGAAATGTGTGCGTAATATTAATGAATTTTATAATAAAGTAGATAAAAATTACTTACCTTTTTTTTACTAATTATATATCCTAAAAAATAAAGAGATTATAATAAAATCTAAGAAATATGTAATTACAATCTCTTGAATATATGTAGATGTATTAACTTTAAGAAACACAAAAGTCTTGTATTAAAATACAACAATATAATTAGTTTTTTTGTATTTAGTATATTATATTCTTTTATAAAAAAATTTATTTTAATTCAAAATCAAATTTCTTAATTTAATAAAATCCTATCATAAGAGGGAAATCCTATAAAAGTTTAAGTCAATCTTAGTATTGAAGACACTTTTATTTAAAGAATAAAATTTTTCCTTAGGTTATAACGATTAAATTTTGTCGGCCGTTTATCTGTCTTATTCGCACAAAATATTAATCAGTATTAATAAAAAAAAATTGCGAAAAAACGACCATATTGCATGGAAAACCATAGCCAGGTACTGAGTAATATACGTAAAAGATATAATAATGATCTTGTATAAATCTGGCATACAGCTTTTCTTTACTTTATTTCGTAACTTAACACTGCTCCAAAAAGCGTTTTTTTTTCTAAAAGAAAAAAGAATTATTTATTGATAAAAAAATAAACGAATCCTTAGATACTGTAGAAGCTACGATATCCAGGATCTTGATATTGGCAGTATTAGAATAATAGAACGGGCTATTTAAAATCACAAAGATTGTGCAAATATAACTTACTGAAGCGCTTTTAACGAAGTTCTTAACATTGGAGCTGTGAAACATTAACTTAACAATATTTCCAATTTCAAAAAAAATCTCCCACATTTAATACATATAAACTATATTAAATAGATAGATAGAAATTCATTGTTCCCCTAGGGACACATTAAACTATTAAATACTCTGTTCTGGCAACTTGATAAAAATTCTATAAAAAGAAGATAATATTTCTAGCACCATTCGCGTATCGCTGTTGTATGATACTGGCATAATTGCCATACTCTCTTTTTTGCGATTTATAAGTCATACTTGGATTTTACTTGATTTCGTAAATTCCATACACTATCGAAGAGAAAGAGAGGGAAAAACGCGGAAGACTTTGTCCCGCTTTGCTTTGCTCGCGAAGCGCCGGAAAAGTTTCTCGTGTTTTGTATTATCATCAAAAATTATTTTATCAATCTGTAGCAACATTCCGAAGAGGGAAAGTCGTTTAGTCCGCGGATATGTATAAGCGTTTTTCTTCGTTAATATAATTACTTCCTGCTAACGATCAGGCTAACTTTCACAGATTACGTGAGAAATCATCTTATAAGCGTAGCCCAAAGTGTGTTTGTCAAATTAAAAAGTAAAATAAAGATCAAATAATATGGAATCTTTCAAATAATCCAAAATTATTTTAAGACGCGACAGACACTGGAAACTTATAATAGTAGGAAGAAAATATATTTTATATATTGTAAGAAATTATTTCAAAAATATATTTAAAATAAAACAAAATTCATTTTTTCCAATTTTGAAGATATTAAGTAATCCTAAAAAATAGAATTTGAACATACAGAATTTGCTCAGCAAACTTGTAACAATTATAATAGAGTTACAGGGTACATTATGTTGTGCTTTCTCACAATTTTCTTTGGCGTTTTCATCTGTTTTCATCTCCGTTTTTGATCTGTTTATATCTGTTTTCGTATATGAATATTGGCAACTGGATCCAAGATCTTTAATCGCAATATATATCAAGTCTCAATTTGCAAACGCACTGAGGGGAAATAAAACGAAACTAAATTGAGGTATGTCATTAGGCACGTAATTCTCGATTCTCCAACGAATCTAATATTTAATAGTCGTCATGTAATTAAGTTCATTGATTGTTAATGGCGTGCACTTATTTATGCAATTGTTGCGCGTTATAAAATTATACATATATATGTATATACGCATATTATATATATAATAGATGTAATATATATAATATGCATTTGTATAAAATATATGCGTACGTATATATATATATAATATTAAATATCATTCTCATTACTCATATAATTATAAGTATCCTCTGAACGCACGTTATCGACTCCTTGATAATCAATATCAACGATAAAGAAGACTTACTTACACCGGGGTACTCGCGTGTACTCTCTTTCTCACTGTTGCAAATCCGAGACATGCACTTTGCGAAATTAGAGAATTACTTATTTCTAAAACGTTTTAAACCTTTTCTTAAATGGAAGTTATCCGCATATTATTATGAAATTAATACAAAAATTTTCGAAATCTTCAAAATCTCAAACAAATTTTTGGAATATTAAATCTTATATAATCGAAAAATTTTACATCTTCCTGCACTTTTCGAGATGTGTGACTTTAAAACGATTTGAAAATAATTCTCTCTAATTTGTTAATATTCGTTAATATTCGCGGTCTCGATTTTCACTTATTATTAATGACGGATCATGTTTTAGCGATGCTCACTTGTCTTACTAGTTTTTTCATCGACGCGACAAACATAAAGAAATAAAAAAAAGGATAATATATTCATCGGCTGAACTCGCTGAAAAATGTAGAAGCAGACTTTCAAAGTCTCATTACTAATAGAGAAGACTTCTTTTCAATTAATTAAAATTATAAACAGTTTTTAAAAATTAGAAAATTAATAATGCAATTAATAAAAATTAATATTCTTAAGGGGATGCTGGAGCCGCCTGTATTACCGATAAAACTAGCGTTTTTGACGTTCTTGGTCCTGTCGAATTTCTTCGTAGTGGTTTTACAGAATAAAAATTCCTTTTTCACAATTAAAATGTACATGCTAATGTATTTGTCGCTGATGTATTTCGTGCCTAAAACTAAAAAAAAAATAAAAAATCACAGATTTTTTTATCCATTTTTGTCTCAGCATGGCGACCAATGCTAAAGATAAAATGAATAAAGAAATCTGTTATTTTTTCCAGCTTTGAACACAAAATACACCAGCGATAAATACATTAGCATATACATCATAATCGTGGAAAAGGAATTTTTATTCTGTGAAACCACTACGAAGAAATTCGACAGAAACAAAAACGTTAAAAACGTTAGTTTTATCGGTAATATAGGTGGCTCCAGCATCCCCTTAATCACGGATAAAATTTTTCTATTGATATATCGTAATTTAATAATTTTATTCTACATAACAATAATAATAATAATAATTCTTGTAAAAGAATGAGCATCACTGGATAGTCCGTCTTTATCTTACATTATCGATTATACAATTAAAGGCCTTATAAGAGAATGTCACAGTACGGTTATTACGAAGGAATGTCTTCAAGCGTTCTCTACGTCGAACGTTTTTCGAGTATAACAAGAGGTCGTTAGAAAAAAGGGAGGAGGAAAAAGTGAAAGAAACGAGAAAAAGAGAAAGGAAAGATTGATGGATGAAGAGGAAGACGAAAGATAAAAATCATTGTTCGCGTTTACGATATAATAATCGACTTACGAGCTATGGACTTACAATCGAGAGAGACGAACGGTGAGAAGCTCGGACGGCTCGTTTAGAAAACTAAAGCGTTAAAAATTAAATTACAAAAATTAACGAAATAAAAATTAAAGATAATCAACGAAATCACTTTCTCAGTTCTCCGATACCTTGTACATGGAATGCATATAAATTCTGCCATTATCGGCATCCTGACACCAACCATTTCATCGTGCAAAGTATATTGTTCAAAATAAATAATTCCAAACTACAACTTTTGTATAATATTCTACATATTATGTTAATAATTAAAACTTATAAAATGTGAAACAAATTCTAATATGCAAATAGAATATATTAAATAAAATTCCTTTTGAACATTTCCTCATAGTTTTCAACTCATTGAAATTTTATACAAGGATTTAATCTGCGAACACGTAGGTGATAAATAATCGGGTTGTATAAAAATTAAAAATCTTTAAAATTAAATTCAAGAACAGTTTGACTAGCGTCAATTAATATTTACTATAATTTTCAACTTCTGTTAATTTTATCATGTGTCTGTGGAACAAAAAAAATATATATTTATAAAAGTACGTTTCTCAGATATTTTTTGAAATTCTGTATCTTGGTGAAATTAAAATAACTTTAGTGAGACCGTTTCTAACACTCCAAGAACCTTCAATTATTATACATGAGTTCCGAGCTTCTCGACGAACCTCCCTCCCTCGAGACGAAGAAGAACAATTTTCGCCGTTTTGCTAAACCGTGCAACCGGCATCCGATGTTGTCGGCACGAACGGACTACCCTGCCGGTAGAAATCGGTCTCGTATTCCTCGACCTTCACTGGGTAATCGGTGACGCAGTTCTGTGGCTGATTAAGGGCCGGCGGGGGTTGCTGTGGCACAAAATTATCCTGATAACTAGGCAGATGAAGGGGCTCGGCGAACTGCTGATACGATGTTGTGTCCAGGCCCTGCTTCAAACAGGTCGGACTGTGGAGACTCAGCATGTCGACCAGCCTGCGCCTTTGAGTCTCCAACTCTTGGATTTGTGACTTTAGGTCCAGGTTTTGGGTCTCGAGAATTTCGGATTCCTGCACAAGGATCACCGTTTTCTCGCGCTTCTTCAGTCGGCACTTGGTCGCTGCAATCTTGTTGCGCTCGCGTCGTCGCCGGCGTCGTTCCTCGTCCTCCGGCGTCAGCTGCAAACGACAAAAATTTTCGCATTTTTTTATTCTGATATTTTCCATTTTCTTTCAGGAGCATAAGAAAATTTCGTGGGTATCTTCAACTTTTTTTAGGAAATTGCAATTATTTCCATTCGTTGGGTTTGAATTAAACTTTTGAAATCCTGATTTTAAAATGTAAAAAGCTGAGACGTTGATGTCCTAAGATTTCGAGATATTAAAAAGGAGGCCTTAAAGAAATTTTATACGGTTCTGAATTTCTCTAGTTTATACACAAAAACTCTGGACATTCTCATTTCTGACATCTTCTATTTTAGAAAAGCAAAGAGATTTCTTGAATCTTCTATTTTATCGTTAGAAGATTTTATAGGTTTATACCTTTAAGGTTTATACCTTCGATATCCTGATTTTGAGATGTGAAAAGGAATTCTTGAAAAAGTCTTAAAAGGAAGAGAAAATTCGTGAATGTTCCGAATCTCGTTATTAGAAAATCTAAATGTGAATCATTGTGTTGCACTTCTATTTTGAAGTTTTGTAATTTAATCGACAAAAATCGATGATTCATTTTACATAAATATTTTACGTACAAATCGGTTGTCTGTTGAATAATAACACGACAGATATATATTTCGAGAGAAGATGCTAATTGTTTGCAACTTGTTGCACTTTCGCGCGCATTAGCAAGAATTAGCAAGATATAGATATAGAGGTGTTAATTAATGACGAATATGAAAGAAGCTCGGCATGATTTTTGGATAACGAAATACGTGAGTTATAATGTATTACAATGCATTTCCAAAACATACACACACACATATATACATATATACGTATATGCCACGCGCTCTTATCATATTTTATTCATTTTTAGCTTATTTATTATATATGACAAAACATATATACATTGACATTTCTTTTTACATTATAATTATGATAAAGATTTGATTTAAAAAATTCAATTTAAAATCTACAATGAGTTCTTCATAGATTAATAAAAGAGGGAGTGTAAAAATGGCCAAAATTGGCCCTGAATGGATACCTTTAAAACCTATGCAGTTGTCATTTCGAAAGTCCGTACATTCATGGAAAAATGCTTATTTATCCAGGAAAGCTTGGAAAATCTTCCAAAAATAATAAAATAAGTCTTTTAAACGCTCTGCAAAGAAACTCATTGTTTCTAATAAACGATGATAGATTTCAAAATTAATGGTGTGTGTTTATATTTAACACAAGTTGTATTATGAAATACTATAAGAATACACTACAAGAAGATCTACAAATACATATATAATATACAGGATGTATCAAAAGTCTGAAAACGGTCGAATATCTCAAAAGCAAAGCATTTTTGAGAAAAATACTTCAGACCAAAGTTGGAGGGTTTAAAAAGATCTATTCACTGATGACATTCGCTTGACCTTGGGTGGTCGTCAAGGTCAGGTCAAAGTCAAATTAATTGTTTAAATGAAACTATTTTTATGCCAGAATTTAATAGTTGGTATCAAGAGCTTTTCAAAACACTGTAATAAAGTTATTTTTCATTAAGTACTTTTCGAGTTATAAGGCTTGAAAGTTACAGTACCGCCGGCACTAGCATTATGCAAGGTGTCCGATCGATGGCTAAAACCTCTTGAATGTTGTTTAGAATCAAAGTCGTTGTACCTCTTATTTTCATTTTTACGTAAAAATGAATTCTTAGTGCAAAAATGAAAATAAGAGGTACAACCTCCAATGACTTTGATCTTGACAAACGTTATCCAGGACATGATCCTGAACAACATTCAAGAGGTTTTAGCCGTCGATCGGACACCTTGCATAATGCTAGTGCCGGCGGTACTGTAACTTTCAAGCCTTATAACTCGAAAAGTACTTAATGAAAAATAACTTTATTACAGTGTTTTGAAAAGCTCTTGACACCAACTATTAAATTCTGGCATCAAAAATAGGGTGTTCCATTAAAAAAATCAATTTGACTTTAACCTGACCTTGGCGATGCCACCCAAGGTCAAGCGGATGTGATCAGTGAATCTTTTTAAACCCTCTAGCTTTTGTCTGAAACATTTTTCTCAAAAATGCTTTGCTTTCGAGATATTCGACCGTTTCCAGACTTTTGATACATCCTGTATATTATAGATATATGTATTTATAGATCTTCCTGTAGTGTATTCTTATAGTATTTCATAATACAACTTGTGTTAAATATAAACACACACCATTAATTTTGAAATCTATCATCGTTTATTAGAAACAATGAGTTTCTTTGCAGAGCGTTTAAACGACCTATTTTATTATTTTTTGGAAGGTTTCCCAAGCTTTCCTGGATAAATAAGCATTTTTCTATGAATATACGGACTTTCGAAATGACAACTGCATAGGTTTTAAAGGTGTCCATTCAGGGCTAATTTTGGTCATTTTTGCACTCTCTCCTTTCAGTATTATATACCATATGTGTGTGTTACTCAAAATAAAACACAAAACCTATCTCGTAAAATTTCGTTATGGAGTCCTTATGCGATATTCGTTATTTTATTTAGAGTAGCAATATTAATATTGAAATAACCTTAGCTCTGATAAAAAAATATGACAAAATCGAAATAAAAACATTAGAAGAATAAAAAAATTGTTTTTTATTGTATCCCATTTACAAAAGCGTGTGATATATACCATACCGATTAAAATATAAGCATGTTACTACTTCGCGCTTTCAAAATTTCGCTAATTTTATAGCAGTTTGCACTTCGTGCTATAAACAAACGATCTTGTAGACGATATGCAAATTCGCGAATGCCTAAATTGCCGAAATGGCTCGACACAGCGTCTGTTGGAATTAATTTATTCGCGCACGCGAATGTCGCAACAGCAGTCAAGGACACAAGAAGTATCGAAAGGATTCATCGTCTGGTCTGGAATCGAGAAACGTCTCTAAGCTATCGCCAGATTTACTAGAATGGAATCGAGTCGCTATGTGTTCATGCGTGTTTCATTCAAAACATTAGATTGCTCGTTTTAACTGCATTTTTGTGCATTTTCTCATTCATATTTAATGATATTTAATATTTATATTTTTTTATTATTATTATTATATATATTTCTTATAATTAATTTATTTCGAAATTTATATAAATAATAAAAATTGAAATGAAACAAATATTTATATCTAGATTTTAAAAGAAGTAAAAAAAAGTACAGTGGGTCACATAAAAGTTGCAACACTTTTTTCAATGGGTTTTGGAACTCAGCCTTGCTCGTAGAACGGTTGAACGTAAATGGTTAGATCTATAAGTAAGAGAACCAATCTCTCCGATAAGCAGACTGCATTCCGAAACCCATTGAAAAAAAAGTATTGCAACCTTTCTGTAATTCACTCTACAGAGTGTGAAAAATATAATTAAAACAACACACAATCCAATATATAGAATGCTTTTCATCGAAATTGAACAGTATATATACAGGGTGTTAGTTAAGTATTTTGCCATACTCAGAGCGATTCTTTGGTTTATTTCAAGTAAAAAAAGTCCATATAAACGTGTCCTAAACGGCTTAGTTTCCGAAATACAGGTGAATGTTCGCAAATGTTTGACGAAACGGCGTTGGAGATATCTTCCTGCAAATATGCCTTGCTTCACGTGAGTTACCATTCGCACAACCGTAAACAAAGTGACAAAGTTAAAGTCAAAGTCACAAAATCAAAAATAGACTTCAGTTCTGCTGCGGGTCAGTTAGCTCGTACATACGTTTTCAACAATTCATCTAATTGTTTTATTTCATCAGAAGAACTGAAGCCTGTTTTTTTTTGTTTTTTTCTTCTGTTTTTGACTAGTTTTTGATTAGTTCAAGCTGTATTTCTTTCAAATAAACAGATTATTACTACACGTTTAAATTTTTTTATTTCGGAAACTAAACCGTTTAGGACACATGTTTATATGGACTTTTTTACTTGAAATAAACCAAAGAATCGCTCTGTTGAGTATGGCAACATACTTAACTAACACCCTGTATATATACAGGGTATTTCATTTTAGTGTGTGGTGATATGGTCGATTATCTCGCGAATCGATGATTTTATTGAAAAATTTTTCCAACGAAAGTTGCATGGCTTGAAGGGGGACACATGATGGAAATGTGGACTTGACCTTGAGTGACCTTGTCAAAATCAGATCAAGGTCATTAATGTTTTTTTAAATGGAAACCTCTATTTTTTATTACATATTCTTGTAGCTTATCTCGAGAGCTTTCCAAAACACTATAAATAAGTTCATATTTTTATTAAGTACTTTTCGAGTTATGAGGCTTGGAAGTTACAATATCGCTGGCATTAACATTACACAAGGTGTCCGACCGACGGCTAAAACCTCTTGAATGTTATTCAGGATTATGTCCTTTTTGTCAAGATCCAAGGCCATTGGAGGTTATACCTCTTATTTTTACGTAAAAATAAGAGGTATAACCTCCAATGGCCTTGGATCTTGACAAAAAGGACATAATCCTGAATAACATTTAAGAGGTTTTAGCCATCGGTATTAGCATTACACAAGGTGTAATGTATGGACGTGACGGAGATTTCATCTCATTGGGGTGTTTGATTTACGTGAATCACGTAAATCAAGCAACCCAAACGTGAGAGGCAAGGAGACTCACGTAAATCAAGCACTCCAATGGGATGGAATCACATGCACGTCGTTCATCCTGAATAATGCTAAGCGCGGGAAAATGCATGCAGTCAATCTTGCTGATTGATTATCAAACATAATCAGTCCAGTTAACAAATAGGAACAAAAACAGAGTGTGTGTAACTCTGACTCCCTTTCCCCTTCCCCATACACGCACGTACGCACGTACGCTCGTACATATGTATGCACACATCCGCAACATAAGAGATTAAATCCGACTAAGTAACCTCCACGTGGTACATCTTGGGTAATGTTAATGCCGGCGATACTGTAACTTTCTAGCATTATAACTCGAAAAGTAATTTACGAAAAAATATTTTATTATAGTATTTTAGAAATAGAAAGCTCTCGAGAGGTGTGCTAAAAGAAAATGCAATAAAAAATGGGGGGTTTCGTTTAAAAAATTCATGTTGACCTTGACCCGACCATAGTAGTGCCCCCTATCCAAAATCCGTTATTCACCTTCTTTCTTTTGAGGAAACCTATAACATTCGTATAAAACTTTTTCTTGTAGCTCTCTTAGTTTCTGAGATATTCGGCTGAGGCGATTAAAATGTGCGTGCGTGCGTGCGTGCGTGTGTGTATACAGGGTGTTTCCAAATTAAATGGCAAAACTTCGGGAGCGTGTAGAGGAGTAAAAAACTAAGAAAAAAAGTCCTATAGACATATGCTCCTTTTTGCTTTGTTTCGCAGGAAATCACGAAAAAAGAAAAAAATATATTTAATTTATTATTTTAATTATTTTATTTATAAACTTTTTAATGAAGATTTTGTTCGAAATGTGCACCTCTTGCAGCAATACAAGCATTGCATCTGTCAAACACGGCTCTTGTAGCAGCCAGGCACTGTTCTTGCGATATTCTGTTCGCTGCAGCTACGATACGATTTCTCAAATGTTGCTCTGATTGAATAGGCGAAGAATAAACTTCTTGCTTCAGAGTACCCCATGCATAGAAATCTAATGGCGTTAAGTCGGGCGAACGAGTTGCCCAATGTACTGCTCCTC